TACCATTTGAATGAAAAATTATACCATTTGAATGAAAAATTGTACCATTTGAATAAAAAAAATTGCATTTAAATGAAAAAATATACCATTCAAATAAAAAAATATTGCATTTAAATGAAGAAATATACCAATTAAATAAGAATAATTGCATTTAAATGAAAAATATCAAATTTTTGCAACCAATACCATGGCATACATATGATTTCTATGGAATACTTACCTTGCCCTAGATTTAATGATAAATATAAATATATAGTCTTTGTGGTTTTTCGTGGACATTGGTCTCCGAGATAATCGTACCGCATCTTCTTATTTCTAAATGTAAAACACCTATAAAAACTCATCAAGGAAACCAGGTTTATAATTGGAACGACAGACACGTGTTTCGCTTACATACATGTAAGACTCATCATGCAGTGGTAATCGAAAACGAAAAGTGGAACCAAATATGGTTAAGAAAATCTATGACCGGATTATAAAAACATTAGTGTTTTGAATTATTCAACATTTTATTAACAGTAAATCTAAAGAAATTAAACATTTCTGAATCAATTTCATGTCAACACAAAAGTGGTGACTACTGGGTTGGGAATACCGTCGGGGACGAAACGTCCAACAGCATAATTTGGGATCGACCCAGTGGTTGTAAAAACTCATCAAAGACACAAGGCGTATATAAAAATGTTGCTCCTATAATACATAATTTTATATAGATGACCGCAAAGATGTATATTGTCCATCAGATCATGCAATGATTGTCCGCCATTACTGATAATCTAGATTTTTCGTGTTATATATGGAAAAAGTAAAAATATTCCATGGGTCATTAAAAAATCCTCAAACTTAGTAAAGACAGACACAACCATGGCAAAACAAAAATAAATATATATCACTCAGAAAACTAAAGATTTAGCAACACAAACCACACAACTATCGTGGGTGAACGCAGGTTGCATGAAAAAATGGCAGTTCATGCTCCTATATTGACACCCGCGAATTGCAAATCAAACTGCGTGATGGCCAACGAACGAAAGTGCAATCAAATAAGATATATCAATGAAATACACTTAGAGAGCTGCATGTACATATTATACACTGATAACCAAATTGACAATGATAATTTAATAAAGATATGAGATTTTCGTACTTTTCATAAAGGCTATTGGTCGACCGTACTATTAACTATATCTGACTTAATATGAAGTAAGCATATTGAATTCAGTTCAGACATAATATACATTTGTATCGAGGTACTATATAGTTATAAAGGTTATTTTGAAAATTTGTGTGTAAACTTGGATGACCACAAAATGAATTAAGTCTAAAGGAAATTGAAACATCAATAAACTATGTAAAATAATCTATATTACTGATAATTCTAATACAAAATGCATTGAAAATAATGCCCAGATCAAATATTTCCTGAACACTTACAAAACTGTTCACTTGTGTAGGAATATCATGAACAGATTTATACATGTATCAACATTTTGGTTGCCATGACGCTCGCCAATAAAATAAGACTTAACATATAACATTGGAATTATAAACGTGTAAAATGGAAATGAAAGCTGTCGAAATCACATCAATTTAAAAACCGAGTACGAAAACATGCGTTTGCAAAATAAGCATCTTTTGAAAGGCATTCGATCTCCCTATCATATCATCCTAGTGTCATTTAAAACAGCCAGTTTCAGATCATAAACATGGAAATCGGGAGTAAAGTCAGGTGGACGATAATAAGGCAGGAACATTGTCAGTAGTTTTTAGTTATTTGGAGAATTTGGATTTAATGGCAGATCTTTGATTGTTTCCGTAAATTTATTAACTTCTTTTATGAACTCGGGACGATTAACTTGATCTTGACTTATTGTATAGACATCTGTCAATTTCCTCCCAGTAGTCTTTAGTTAATTGTTGTCGTTCTGTCTAAACAACGTATAACCACATCTCCTGTTGTTCATAAGTAAGAGATATATGACAGAATATATGGGCTGTTTCTTTCCGAACATATTCAGTATGACTTTGGAATAATATTGTCAAATACCGGAAGTGAAACAGACTGGAGTAAAGGTATCTCTAGAACATAAGTTGAGTCACTGTGATATTATATAACAATGACCCAATTTATGATGCGTGACAGTCGTTCCTCCTCAATTAACATTGGGAGAGAAGTTTTTCAGTTCCTAATACATTGTAAATCAGTGAAACGTATATGTAATGATCATATGATGAAATGAAGTGCAATGACATACTAAATGCTTAACTGCATGGTAATATAAAATATATAAAATCGAAAAGATTGTTGAAATAATTTTAGTCATCCAAAATTAAGAACGCAAAGTAGTAAAATGGTGTATGCGCATCTATAAAGATGGTTTTCTAGACAAATCGTTCATTGTTGGAGCACATTTCAACCTTAAATATTCTTAGAGAACACAATTAATTATTTTATCGGTCCGCATACACCAAACACCTTTTTCTTGGTTGGCAAATTCCGTATATTAAAAATGAAGTAAATTTGACGCATAAAATAATTTGAAATAGTAAACTTCAACCGAACGGGCTTTATACTCAATATACCGTGTAACGAATGTTTTGCACCTCGGATAAGTTCATTAAGGATATACTTAGGTGAAATTAAAAAAAATAGAATTTAAAATTGATATCATAAGTCAGAAGAGCATTATTTAAGGAACAAAATAAGCTAAAAATATTGATAGGTTATGGAACTGCTTTTCGAGATATTATTTTAAATGGCGGGAAAAGGCTGACTCGGACTTTTACCTTATATTTGCATTTGGATCTCAAATCGAAAGAAAAGAAATCTAGAATCTGCATAAATTTGGGTAAATGACCTTTTTTTTAGCTATTGAAGTCTTATATGAAAAGAAAAATGGGAGTTATGGGCCAAAATATGTTTACCCTGTATAGTAGGAAAAAAACCAAAGAGTCGGAACATCTGAAAAAATTCCTAAACTTGACCTAAGTACATCCTTAATTGGAGATCCAAAAATCATAAGTGTTTTATACGGCCTCCTAACAAAAAAAGGTTTAAGATAAAAAAAAATGTAAGAGTCCACCTTTTATTCATTTATTAGTATTAGTTATTAGTTATTTAGATGTTTGAGATTATTTAATAAGTGGATGTTAGCTTTTATAAGTTTTTCACTTCTAATATGAAATTCACTGTGAAACTATATTTAGTAACCTTTTTGAAACTGAACTCATAGTTCGAAATATAGGTTGACTTAACCCTTGTTAGAAATCTCAATTATTTACACTTTTACAATCATCGCCTTGGATACATATCCCATCACAGACTCTTCTAACTTGATGGCAATAAAAAAAAATAAAGCTCGATTGATGGCTGCCTAATGTCCAGTGGCAAATATTACAGACAATGAAAATAAAACAGCTCGATTGATGGCTGCCTAATACCCAGTGGCAAATATTACCGGAAATGAAAATACTACAGCTAGATTGGTGGCTAACAACCTCCCTTGCAAATATTACAGTCAATGAAAATAGTACAGCTCGATTGATGGCTGCCTAATGCCCATTGACAAATATTACAGGCAATGAAAATAGTACAGTTCGATTGATGGCTGCCTTATGCCCAGTGGCAAATATTACAGGCAATGAAAATAGTACAGCTCGTTGATGGCTGCTTAATGCCCATTGGCAAACATTACATGCATATTCAGGACAATGTTTATTTAATGGGATTGTACCCTGCTTTATACTAGACAGACACGAGGAGTGCCAGCTCAAAAGGTAACATTCCAACCCACGACACCCCGCAAACGAGGTACAGACGATACCACAAGACCTTCCGATGTGGTTCCAGAAAACACCCCAAAACTTTCTGTCTTAATTTCATTTGCAGATGATACTTATAATGTAGTTATATCCTTCCTTACGTCGTGTATCGGGAAGATAGTCATTTTACCGTGAATTATACCCAAATCAAACATACCATCATCCATGTTGAATGCAGTGTATTATACACGGCAATAAAATGCGAACAATGAACACAACACTGTTTTACCGTCTCTTACAAGAAAGAAAAAAAAACAACAATCAAAATCTGACGCGAACATAACAGACATATTGTACATGTATACAGAACAAAAATATGTTCGACGGAGAATATATAAACCGGTTTATAAGTACTGAAAAAATAGCGATATTTTTGGGGATCGATTTTGAAAAGGCCTAATTAAAAGAGTAAGAGAGTTTGTCACGTATCGCTCATTGTCTTGTATATATCTAAAATCCGTCACACTCAATCAGTATATACATATAAAAAAGAAGATATGGTATTATTGCCAATGAGACATGAGACAACTCTTCACAAGAGACCAAATGGCACAGAAATTAACGACTATAGGTCACCGTACGGCCTTCAACAATGAGCAAAGCCCATACCATGTATGAATAAAAAGAGATGTGATTTTACGCCAATTAGACAACAGCAAACAAATAATATACATGCGTTTGCTTCCAGTTTATGGATTACGGCTCACAGTATTTTGGCCCTTGGCTTACTCATTTCAAGTGGACGTGTTGTTGATGATAATGTTAGGGTCACCGTCTCTATTTGTCCAGTCGGATTATATATGAAAAAGGAAATTGCGCACTTTCAATCACGAGCTGTACACTTATACATATTTTTGTAGATGTGATAATGAGATCTCTGCAACACGCTGCATTGAAATATCAGTTTGGTTAAAATATGATAAAAAAAATTTGCCAAATTCAACTTTGCTTGACGAAACTAGTACATTTGCCTCTAATTGCAAACAGTGACAATAAGCAGAGTGGTATAAAAAACAAACAATAACAAAATCCTTTAAAGAAATTCCTTTGCCAGACAACGAATCAAACTTTCTGATATATTAGCGTTAAAGGTTTAATTAAAATGAGAAAACAATACTTATGATAAAATCATGAGTATATACACCAGTAGAACAAAGAAAAATGAATAAACATCCTGATAATTTAAAAATTTATTTGAAAATATCTTTCTGTTCTTTGAAACCAATATTCCACCATATTCCAGATGTTCACTTATTATCCAAACAAGTTGTCAAAAGCGTCCTCTATAGCATCCCCAGCTTTTGAAAGTCATGAGTCAATTTTATCTACAGAACTTTTAAAGCCGTCTTCAATGTCATCGCCTAAACCTTCAAAATGATCTTCCCAGTCATCAAAATCTAGGCTCTTCTCATTCCTTCAATGATGTTATAAACAAAGTGTTAATTAGATCAATTACAGTTTTATCAGTTGTAACTTATAGTGATCAAAATAGTACAATGTAATTCCTAATCTTAGAAATATATTTAATCTGGATAATTTACCTTTATTTTAACAAAATTAAAGTACACTTCTTTCAGTACTTAAAACTGGCCTGCATGACATAAGCAAAACTGTTATTGCTTTCATCGCATTGTCTCAGGTTATTTGTATCAATGAGCGTTCACAAGCATGCTTTTCTGCAGCTATTTTATTTTTAATACTCGCAATGCTTTATGTATTTTTCTTAGCCCAAACTTTTTAGTCCCTGTATTGGGTTATCACTTAATGTTTGAGACCGTACGATCACCCGAAGAAGATCATGTACTCTCCCTTTCTTCAACGCATTTATTTACATCATTGTATCACCACAGGAATAGTTGAAGGTTTACAATACAACATAATAAATTATGTGCCTGTTCAAAGCCAGGAGACTAGGCCAATGTCGCCTTCGTATTATATATATTTTTTTTTCTTTCATTTTTTTAATATCAAAATCATGTTATAGTCGATTGCTTTCTTACTCTTTGAATGTTTGGTTATTATTGAAAACTTAAACAGACCTGTAGAAGTCGAATTACTGATCATGTTATAAATGATGGACAGATACTGCAACGGCAATCGTATTATATTTCCTTATTTTTGAATCGGATAAAGGAAAGATATTGAGTTGGTGTAATAATTCAACAATCGTATGTTGTTCATCTTAAAACACAATGTACACCATATCACATAAAAAGAAAATCAGAAACGATCGAATATCGTAATATAAATCTTGTATTTAAGTATTACCTTACACAATACGTATGAGGGTGTGGATGCCATCATGGGGGTTTACAGAATACAGAATAATGGGCAAAAATATAAAGAATAGAGAAAAATGGACCAAAAAAATAAATAATAGAGAATAATGAGATACTGAAATATAATGAATAGAGAATAATGGGCACAAATTATAAAGAAAAGAGAAAAATTGCATAAAAAATAAAGAATACAGAAATGAAGGACTCCCATTCAGACCCTCACGTATGGGCATTTTCGTTAAAGCCATACAAAGAGAAGAGGCGTGAATTTTCAATAAATATCCATAGTTATATGAGGTAATGGATTTGTCAATATTTTTAACCGAATAGCTGATATGACAATATATAGAGCAGATTGTTATCATTAAAGGGTAACAAAATGCTCTATTATCCTCCAAGGTATATGTTATTTATATAAAATATCAAACTTTTAATCATTTTACCTGTTTTGATTTGAAATGTGTCTACACTCAAACAAACAAATAGTTACAAGTCCTAATGTCAGTATAAACAGTTTCATTTTATCTGAAATTATAAAACAAAATGATTGTTTATAAAAAAAATAAAACCTCAGGCTGCATTAGAATTAAAAGAGATGCGGAAAATACCAAATAGATAGATAGTCAATCTCATGTCGAAAACGCACTGACAATGCCATGGCATAAAACGAAAAACGACCAAGACAAGCAACAGTTTACAAAACACAACATACTAAACTTAAAACTGAGCAACACGAACCCCATAAAAAAACGGGGGGGGGGGGGGGGGGGCGGAATGGGTGATCTCAGGAGTTCCGGAAGGGTTACCAGATTCCTATTGTTTAAAAGTATGCGTCAAGATAGGGCAAAGTATTAAAAGATATAAACAGAAAAAGGACAGAAAAAATTATTAAAAGACAACAGACAAAAAGTATATTAAAAGTAGTCCAAAAACAGTCATAACAAAAAATACTAAATATTAAGCAACAAAACACTCATAACAAATTGAAGAGGAACTCAAGTGCCATAAAAAAGACAACATTTGATTTTTCACGATACAGATATAACAATTGTACTTACTTGTATTAGTCCGGCGTTAGCGTACAATATTCAGTGCGATTACACTTTATATACCTGCATGAATATGTCCGTTCTCCAATTTACTTTAATAACTTAATTATAATAGTTTAATGTTACAATTTTCTGTACTTATTTTACCGTTTGGCTGTAATTGATGGTGATTATGTCCACTCTGATAGGTATATTATTAGGATGATAAAATTTCATTTTATATTTCTAACAATGACAATTTTATTATCCTAATAATATACCTTAACACAGATTTCAACTTTTTTCGCAAAGTGTCTGCAAATGTAGGAAACATATTCTATAAATGCATTCCCTTCGAATTTTGCATTCGTATGCGTATAAAAAGGGCTTTATTCAATACTTTCGAAAAAAAAGCATATTAAGATAAGAAGAATTAAAATTGATTAATAAAATATAAAAAAAATATATCACTAATTCACATGCTGCATCTATTTTATAAATGTATATATACGTAAGACAAAATCGGTTTCATGGGATGATTGAATGAAATGTTTATGTTTTGAAATATTTTCAAGAGAATGTGTTAAGTAAAGGTCATTCAAACAATTGGTCGAAAAATTTAGTTCTTAATATTATTATCCATAAATTATGATGTTCAGATAATTAAACTGGTCGAAAAATTTAGTACTTAATACTATTATCTATAAATCATGATGTTCAGATAATTAAACTTAATCATCGCAATAAGTTAACATTACACACAATTTCGTGTCTAAATCATGCCTTTAAAATATCTTTGAATGTTCATAAACAGGACAATTACGTCATTCTACTCACTTGTTATAAAGGGGAGATACCATGGCTAAAATGAGAAAAATGACCTTTCTTAACACAATATGAGACCTTTTTTAAACATCCATTCATTGACCTTATTTATAATCTATTATTGATTTTCAATTCCAATTTTATTTGCAAAATGAATTGAAGGGGCATTAGCTACGATTTAGACAAAAATATAAAATACGATTCTTTTTGTTTCAAGTATAAGTAAAAGCGGAATTTTTAAACAATATTTCGTTATAAGCAGTCAGTTTGGCCCAAACAAGCTAATGTATTATTGACTTGCAAGTCAATAATTTAACCTCATTGAATACGTATTCATGTGACCTTCAATTTAACCCCTTATCTAGAGATGGGTTAAGCATGTATTAGGCGTGTTCAGAAAGAGAAAAGGAAAAGAATGTCAACATTGAAAGTGAAGCAATGGTGAACCATTTGGTTGACTGATTAGATCCACAAAAAATCATTCTAACAGGTATACACGATGTTAGACATATTGTTTTAAACTATAATATGAAATCAAACAGACCTAGAAAAATCCAATTGCACGTGCTCGCTATCTATTTATATTTATATTTATGTTTATGTCGGGTTATATGACCGTCGGCAGTCTTCGGAGGTCATCTCGGTGTGGTTAATTAGATGGCATCTAGACTAAAATACACACGGAATGCTGATACATATTCAAGACAACGGGAAAGGGAAAAGTGAAGATATCTAAATTACCATTCAGAAAGAAATGTATGTGCAAAGTGACTTTTGAATCCATTTTGGTTGTAAACAATTTCTTGGTAACAGGGACTTATCATTTTAAACCTGGGAGAGGGCTGGTCAAAATTTAAGGGGGTCAAATTATTTCTTTTATATTGAAAAAACTTTTAAAAAAAAAATCTATTTAACAAAACTAATTAGATGGGTTAACCTTTTTCTGCAAGATTTGAAAAAAAACTTGGGTAAACTTATCGTCTCCAGTAATTGTTATTGTATGTATTGCTTCATGGCTATTGGTACTTTACGGAACGGAACGGAGCGGAACGGAATTTCATTTAAGGTATCCATAGGGGGCATCTATCAAAATTTCGAAAAATCTTTAAAGCAATACAAACTTTAAATTATGCTGTTTACAGTTTTCAATATACAAATAACACAATTGTATACTAAATCTCATCTTCATATGTAAAATGTGTAATAATGCATAACATCGGGAAATATCCTGTAGATATATATGCATGTCCTGAAAAATTATCATGGCAGGTCAGAGAAAAAAGTCATACTCCTTTCATTCATTATAATATCTAAGAAGACAGACCTCCCGTTGTCCTTTCCGGCGATGATTAGAAACATTGATTCTGATTTTAACTTTTGAAATTTGTTATTCCGTTCCGTTCCGTTCCGCAAAGTACCAATTGCTCTAAGGAATTGGTATTTAACGGAATCAACGGAAACAGACATCTTTGTAAAAGACGGTATGATTCATTTTTTTTTTTGGTCTTATATCACTTTGTCAGTTCACTGTTAACTGTGTGTTTACCCAGAATCAGAATCAATATTAATCATCGTAGGAAAGCACGACGGGATGTCTTGTCTTCTTAGATATAATTACGAATGAAAGGAGTAACACTTTTTGTCTGAGTTGCCTATTTCATATAAATTATTGATCCGGTTATTAAATGCATATCTTAAACACTTACCCCTCATTTAAAAAAAGAGGTGTAAGACAAAAAAAATGAATCATACCGTCTTTTACATAGATTTCTGTTTCCGTTAATTCCGTTAAATACCAATTCCTCAGAGCAATTGGTACTTTGCAGAACGGAACGAAACGGAATAACAAGTTTAGAAAGTTAAAATCAGAATCAATGTTTCTAATCATCGTCGGAAAGGACGAAGGGATGTCTTGTCTTCTTTGATATAATTACGAATGAAAGGAATAATACTTTTTGTTTGACTTGTCTATTTCATATAAATGATTGATCCAGTTATTGAATGAGGTATAAGACCCAAAAAAAAAAATGAATCATAGCGTCTTTTACATAGATGTCTGTTTCCGTTGATTCCGTTAAATACCAACTCCTCAGAGCAATTTGGACTTTGCGGAACGGAACGGAACGGAACGGAATAACAAATTTAAAAAGTAAAATTCAGATTCAATGTTTCTAATCATTGCCGGAAAGGACTACGGGAGGTCTTGTTTTCTTAGATATCATACTAGTAATGAATGAAAGGAGTAAAACTTGTTTTCTCTGACCTGCCAATGCGTCAAATTCATGATAATTTATCAAGACATGAATGTACATTTACAGGATATTTTCCGATGTTATAAATTATTACACATTTTACATATGAAGATGAGATTTAGTATACAATTGTGTTATCTGTATATTGAAAACCGTAAACAGCAAAATTTAAAGTTTGTTTTTTTTTTAAGATTTTTCGCAATTTTGATAGATGCCCCCTATGGATACCTTAAATGAAATTCCGTTCCGTTCCGTAAAGTACCAATAGCCTAAAAAAAACCTTCAAAGAGTTGTTGTTAGGGTTAATAATGTGCAGAGAGTGTTGCACTTCCCTTTAATGAGACCGGGGATTTAACATCCCCATTCTGACTGGACGTTGCTGCAAATCAGATAACATAAGTCTGTGTCCACACTTTTTCGTATCAAAAATAAGATTGAGTTGCAAACTACTATCCACCAGAGACCAACTGATCCAGATCTAAGCAACTATAGGTCATCGTATTGCATTAAATGATGATCAAAAACCATATCGCTGAGCTGTTTAAAGTCTGAGTTTGACTAAATTCTCAGCTGATTACATTAACCAGAATGTCATCTATTAAAAAATTATATTAGATAGAAAGATCATATTCCAATTTTTAATCGTTCCATTTCATTTTCAAGTTGACATGCATGAGCCAAAACTTTTCCTACTTTTTACTTATTTAATTATTCTATCTAGTTATAATTCATATATAGAAAGCATTCGCATATAATATTCAATAATTCATGATTGTTTTATATAACACTTACAATAATAGCAAAGTGATTTTAAGTTTGCTATTGAAAAGTTAAATGAGGCAATTATTATACATGAGTGTAAATAAAAACCGACAGATCCATTAACTAAATAGCTTTATGTTTAACATTAATACATGGTGACATGAAGGGGGTACCTGAATGGAATAGTATTCAACAACACAATCAAACCACAGGAAAATCCCAAATGTTATATGTACACGATTTCATGTCTATATTAGAAAACAAAGGATATGGGGTATCCATCTATGACACAAAATCAGTCCATGGACAGCAAAAAAACACACAAAAAGCAAAAGAACAGTGCTTTAATTACTGTTCTTCATCTCAAATTCACATCGGGGACTTTTTTCTATGTCTTTTCTCATGAAGGGAATATCTATTTCTTCCAATGGAAATTGTCGAGGTAATACAATATGCATGGAATTAAAAAAGAAAACATTGTCCCAAATCAGAAACATCGTCAATATAGCTGTCGTATGTCATATCTTTATATTTTTCGTTATTTCGAGAATTGATTGTTTATGGCACATCTTTGATTGTTTTTGTTAAAATATTTCCAAACTTTAATAGACTTGGTGCAATCTAGAGTTGGCATATTGTATAGAAAATGGTCAGTTGT